CTTGTTTGTTTTCATAAATCTAGAATCTACAAGATTCAGAGGATTTGCTGGACTACCAAATGGCAGAAAAATCTCTCTTTGTTGCTAACACTGAAAAGGAAATGCTAGGTTCTTTAAAAATCTGACTCGGTGTTTAAAGAAACATACACCTTCTACTAACTGCACTTGGAAGGAGAGAACAGTGAGGCCCCTAGCAAGCTGGCTGGAGAAAATGGCAAGCTTGAGAACTGGGTTGAACTGTGGGCTGCGGTTTCTAGCAGATAAAAGATTTTATTCTAAGAAATACACTATGATTGCCAGCACTATAGATGATCATTTATATTGTGAGTATCATGATGGTTTTACATAAATCTTTTACAGCTATACATGGACACTTTTGTTTACGTCAGAAAGCATTTTATGAAGATGGAAAAGACAGAAAAGGCTTGCCAAAACGATCAGAAGATTAGCATAATTTTGTGTGGAAAGGGTACAAAATTTAGGTACATTTAATTTTTTTTTTGTTTTAGTACATATATAAAAATCCAGGGCATCCAACAACAACAGTGGAAAGAAAAGACAAGAAAATGTTGTGTAAAATTTGCTACATAACCTTTGATGGAGGCTACACATTTAGTTTTGAGGGGGGATAAGAAGGTTGACTCAGCCTTCCATTCTTCTGAGGTTAGTAAAATGAGGTCCCAAGATTGTTGGGGGCAAGATGCTGACTCTTTAATAGCTTAGAAAGGGCTGCAAAGCACTGTAAAGCAGTATGTAAGTCTAAGTGCTATTGCTATTGATGTAACATAAGGCCACTGATACCTATTAGTTATGCTTGACTGATTTTTCTGAAAATATGACAAGCAACAAGAGCAGAAGGTAAGTACAGTACAGCTTTTTATGTCATGTGCTTTATTAAGTTTATATATTGTAGGACACAAATTTTGGTCTAATATAGCTCTTTTTAAGACAAATTACTGTGACTATTGCTATATTTTTCCTTTTTTTAATAGAATACGAGAACAATACAATATGTCACAATCCTTGCTTTGAATTACTAGCAATGGTAGGTAGATTTTGATGTTAAGAAGACATCAGCAAAAAATGACGAGAATTTTATAATTCTAATCTTACCCCTAACCATTTGTATATTTAAATGAAACTAGTGAACAGATAAAAGTTAAAATATTGGCCAATAATAAAGTGATTGAAAAGTGGCAAAATGGTCTGTATGTCTTTCATGAGCCTTGGGGAAACTAAAGATTTCATGCCTTGCTGCAAGGCTTTCAAATTCAGTGTCATCTTTACCTTCTAACATAATACTACACTCTATTAATTAATGAACAGATATGAGTATGCATGGAAGGAAATATAAAGTATTGCACTAGAATATTTCTGATAGTGGTTATTATACTTCGATAAAACTAATAAAAAACTAATAAAAGCCAGATAAAATAGATATCTGTCTCGATGATCATAAGTAAAACCATGTTAAAGTGTGATGAAATATATTTGGAAGCTGAATACATTGATGAGTGGAAAGGCTGATCCGCCAAAGAGAAAACAAAAGCAGCCATACAGTTAATCCTCCATAATAGCCCATGCATTGCATGGTAAGAAATATAGGTAGTCCTTGATTTATAACCATTCATTTAGTGGTCGTTTAAGTTACAACACTAAAAAAAGTGACTTATGTCCATTTTTCATATTTGCAACTGTTGCAGAATGGTCACATGATCTAAATTTGAGTGCTTGGCATTTATTTGACAGTTACACTGTCCTAGGGTCATGCGATCTATTTGTAACCTTCCTAGCTGGCTTCCAACAAGAAGAGTCAATGGGGGAAGCTGTATTCACTTAATGACTGCATGGTTCACTTAACAACTGTAGTAATTTGTTTAACAATTGTAGCAAAAGGGGCATAAAATGGGGCAAAATTCAACAACTGCCTTGCTGAGCCAGCAAATTTTGGGTCAACTGTGGTCATAAGTTGAGTAAAGTACATATAGATGAAATAAAGTGGGGACAAAGAGATGGCAAAGATTTTCAGCACATATCTTGATGTGGATAGGACTGTCAAGTTATTGAGATAAAGATATAAATGTAACAATGTGTAGCATACGCACATACACACATATACCAGTTCAGGTTCTAAATGTAGAAATTAGATGTCAATTCGAACGTACAAAACCAATTTTTTTGTGAATGCTTTGGAGGAGAGGACTGCAGCTTAAGTTCCAGTCAGTATTGGTAGGAATATAGGGCGTTTTAATGAAAACATTCTGATGATGCTAGATTGTTTTTTCTTAGGCTAAGTAGAAACATGAATCTTGGAATAGCTCCAGTATCAATACTTCTTTGTTTTAATCTACCTTTTACATGTGGGCATAAAACAAGGGGTCACATGACCGCCTCACTTAGCACAGCAATCCTGGCAGTTTCAGCTGTCACTGTGACTGGAGAACTGCAAGGGTTATTAAGTGAGTACTTCACACAACATAGACAAAAGAATCAAAGTTATGTATCAGAAAGCGAAACAGAAAACAAATTCCACACGAGAACAAAAATGTATCAGTCAGATGAAATTTGGCAATATTTACCAGGAATTAAAACTGGCTGTCTGCAATGAGCATATCAGTTTTTTATAACATGGACTTTAGATTCTGACAGCAAGATATGATGGTCAAATACTTCTTAGGCATTTTTATTAGGTACTGCAAATGGGAAATATAGACATGTCATAGAGGTGTCATTCTCTTATGTACCCTTCAGTTGCGGGATACCTTTTTCGAATTGAGTGCTTGTCCTTCAGTAGTATCTGTGTTGTCTTTGTTATCAGTGTCTACTTCTTTGCATTCAGCATCATCTTCACTCGTAATGGGTCCGTTTTCACATAGTGGAGTTTGAAAATCATCATCAACTAATGGTGGATAACTGTATTTGAAAGCATCCTACAACACAAAAAATACATTATTTGTGGCTATGAAAGAAAAGACTTGTGGGTGGACAGGAAACGAAATTTTACAGAAAAGAAACTGGATTCAATTAGAAACAATCCCAAAAGTGATGTGGGTGGAACAGTTAACTTGATTCGCTTTTTAAGTGGCCCCTTTTCAACTGAACAGTTTTTGATGCACAGAAGGTGAAATTGGTTTGCTTGTTTGTTTTCATAAATCTAGAATCTACAAGATTCAGAGGATTTGGTGGACTACCAAATGGCAGAAAAATCTCTCTTTGCTGCTAACACTGGAAAGGAAGTGCTAGGCTCTTGAAAAATCTGACTCGGTGTTTAAAGAAACATACACCTTCAACCAACTGCACTTGGAGGGAGAGAACAGTGAGGCCCTTAGCAAGCTGGCTGGAGAAAATGGCAAGCTTGAGAACTGGGTTGAACTGTGGGCTGCAGTTTCTAGCAGATAAAAAGATTTGATCCTAAGAAATACGCTACGATTGCACTATTTCCTGGTGATAACTAGAGATTTAAACTGCAATGAAATGCCATATCTGAAAACTTTTTCCCCATTTGGAGTATCATACTTTCAGATTGCTTCCAAAGCAGTCATTCCTAGCACTGAATCTGGAAAAAACAATGGATATGAAGATTTTGGAGGGATTTGCACATCCCTAACACACAATGACTAAATATTTCTAATGTTTTATATTTTGTTATGCAAACATGAAGTCCTGTAATAATCACAAATGGTATTTGAAAAATATCATATAGGGGCTTACAAAACATGACCTTGGAGCTGGCTGATTTAACTAATTCATTATTGTTATCCCTGCAGCTGGCTGATTAAATCTAGATGATAAAAGACTGTATTTAACTTTTTTTTAAAAATCATAAACCAGAGAAAGCATAAAGTAGACGTAAAATAAAATGGAAAATTATAAAGACTGAACAAAAAGTTTATTTTCCCATTAATGACTATAATTCAATATCAAATATATTGAGTTATTATACCAGAAAAGTAATAATTCCTTTATTAGAGTTATTAATAGTCTTCTCATATACATTATCATAACTGCACAATTGCATACTTACAGTCCCACCCATATAGGGGGGTAGGTATTCAGCAGTTATATATTCCTGGATTTCATTCTTATTGGTCAACTTCAACAAGGTGGCTGCTTCTGGACCCAGCCAATTTTTTACAATTTTAAAAGCAGCTAGATAAAAAGGAAGGAATAATCAGGAGTAAAAGTTTTTTCCAACCTACTTTTATTAATATGACACATAATGCAAATTCACCAGATTAGTGCCATTACTTAAAATGGGAATCATATAGAATAACTTAACTGAGCCCCTTGTTTGGGACAAACATGTTCAGAATCAACTGGGACATATGTAAATTTATTTAAATAAATTCATTTTTGACTTTCGATGCCTCAAATAAAATAAACATAGAAATCTAAAATATATTCATGCTGTTAATTCAACTGTTAATCATAAGAATATCTCTACCACTAATGAAAACAAAAATCTTTGAAGAAATATTAACTTATAGTTTTTAAGATACTCTCTAAAGTTAATTTAAAATTGCAACTCACCATTCATTACCCAAGGCAATTCAAAAATCACAATTTTTGCTGCAAGAACAAAAAAGAGTTTTTATTTTTTTATTTATTCATTCATTCAGAAAATTTATTTGCTGTCCATCTTGTATCCAACAACTCTGGGAGGCTTTTGTTTCTGTGAGCTTATTACAGAAAGTGTGCTTTGATAATTTTTAACTGCTACGGTTTTTCCCAATTCTCTCCCTTCAGAGGTATTATTTTAATAATTCTTATTTTTTTTTAAAAAAGTTTAGTTTTTCCTGGAACTGTGGAGTGGTATAAACAATGCCTTTGGCTAAAATTAGCTCTTTTTTTGGTGGGTCTGGCTCCTGAATCTTAAGGATGAAACTAAATCAATCTGTCTAAAAAAAGTTAAATTGCGATCCAGGGGGCTCTTCACTGAAAATGAAAATGTCACAAGTTTACTTCAGCAGTATATCTATAATACTGTTCTTCAATTCAATCATCTTGCAGCATATGGAATCTTCCAAATGGATATAATATGTGCTAGCTTCTTACCTCTCTTTTCTCAGGCCAGAACTTTTTCTGGTTATTCTGACTAGGCCAGATCCACCACCTTCTGTCATTCCTATACATCAGCATGGATGTCCTCAGAGGACAGCTCAGAAGTCCAGTCCTTGAGGTACAGGTGAAACTCGAAAAATTAGAATGTCGTGCAAAAGTTCATTTATTTCAGTAATGCAACTTAAAAGGTGAAACTAATATATGAGATAGACTCATTACAGGCAAAGCAAGATAGTTCAAGCCGTGATTTGTCATAATTGAGATGATTATTGCTTACACCTCATGAAAACCCCAAATCCACAATCATAGAAAATTAGAATATTACATGCAATCAATAAAACAAGGATTGTACATAGAACAATATCAGACCTCTGAAAAGTATAAGCATGCATATGTACTCAGTACTTGGTTTGGGCCCCTTTTGCAGCAATTACTGCCTCAATGCGGCATGGCATGGAAGCTATCAGCCTGTGACACTACTGAGGTGTTATGGAAAACCAGGATGCTTCAATAGCGGCCTTCAGCTCTTCTGCATTGTTCGGTCTCATGTCTCTCATCTTTCTCTCGGCAATGCCCCATAGATTCTCTATGGGGTTCAGGTCAGGCGAAGTTGCTGGCCAATCAAGCACAGTAACCCCACGGTCATTGAACCAGGTTTTGGTGCTTTTGGCAGTGTGGGCAGGTGCCAAGTGCTGCTGGAAAATGAAGTCAGCATCCCCATAAAGCTTGTCTGAGGAAGGAAGCATGAAGTGCTCCAAAATCTCCTGGTAGACGGCTGGCTGACCCTGGGTTTAATGAAGCACAGTGGACCAACACCAGCAAATGATATGGCTCCCCAAATCAACACAGACTGTGGAAGCTTCACACTGGACTTCAAGCATCTTGCAGTGTGTGCCTCTCCATTCTTCCTCCAGACTCTGGGTCCCTGGTTTCCAAATGAGATGCAAAAGTTGCTCTCAGAAAAGAGGACTTTGGACCACTGAGCAACAGACCAGGTCTGTTTTTCTTTAGCCCAGGTAAGGCGCTTCTGACGTTTTTTGTTCAGGAGCAGCTTTGAAGCCCATTTCCAGGATCTGTCTGTGTGTGGTGGCTCTTGATGCACTGACTCCAGCCTCAGTCCACTCCTTGTGAAAGTCCCCAATACTTTTGAATGGCCTTTTCCTGACAATCCTCTCCAGGTTGCGGTCATCCCTGCTGCTTGTGCACCTTTTTCTTCCACACTTTTCCCTTCCACATAACTTTCTATTAATGTGCTTTGATACAGCACTTTGGGAACATCCAACTTCTTTTGTAATTACCTTTTGAGGCTTTCCCTCCTTATGGAGGGTGTCAATGATGGTTTTCTGCACAACTGTCAGGTCAGCAGTCTTTCCCATGATTGTGCTTCCTACTGAACCAGACTGAGAGACCATTTAAAGGCCCAGGAACCCTTTGCAGGCGTTATGGCTTAATTAGCGGATTAGAGGGGGACACTTTGAGCCTAGCATATTGAACCTGTTCACAATATTCTCATTTTCTGAGATTGTGGATTTGGGGTTTTCATGAGCTGTAAGCCATAATCATCTCAATTATGACACATCACGGCTTGAACTATCTTGCTTTGCATGTAATGAGTCTATGTCATATATTAGTTTCACTTTTTAAGTTGCATTACTGAAATAAATGAACTTTTGCACGATATTCTATTTTTTTGAGTTTCACCTGTATATGCTTCTCCCTGCTCTTTATACAGGGCATCATAGATAGCATCCATATATCCTAAAGAAATTATCTAAAAAAGAGGATGGCTTCTATCTGTCATTTCTCCCACATGACATTTTTTTGGCTCTAACATCCTGGGTTGTCCAATTTGATCATGTCTCTGCTTGTGACTGAAAACTTCTTTTTGGCTTCATTTTTTTCTATTTTATCTTTATTTTAGCCATCACATTGGTGGCTTTAAGCCCTTCATAAAAATTTGATTTGATATGGATGGCTTCATACTTACTGAGAAAATTAGGATAATATACTTTAAAACAGCTAATGATATACCGAACAAAGTCGAAGTCCTAAAATAAAAATAGATTATCAGTTAATAAAAAGTCAGCAGATATTTTGCTTAGAAATCACCCTAAAAGGTGATTTAAAGAGTTTCAAGCATTTTTATGTAGCATACAATATAGAAAATTGTATTTCCTTACTAGAAAAAAACATTCAAAGATTAAATATTAGGTAAGCTTGTTAAACTTATACACACTGAAGCAATCTATTCAAATTACCTGCAATGTTAACTAGGAGTATAGTTTTACTAAAACCCTCTGAGAGGTTGTATTAGTAGAGAACAAAAACCAATCCATGTGGCATCCTGTATGCACTCTCATGAGGTTTTTTGCTGACTAGTCACAATAAAACACTTGACTGTTTCATCAGAAGACTGATACAAATGTGTTTTTCCCAATAGCTATATAATGCTGAATTGCTGTTAGGTGTTAAATAGATTTCTATGGGACTTTTCAAACCAGCATACATTATTATATAATTTTATCCTATTAAGTATATAGACTACTTATGCTAGCTTTTATTAAAGAGCTAACTTTGTGATTCATGAGCCTGTCAATCCAGAATACTTAAAATTTATGCCAAAGGGCAAATAATTAATTTAAATTTCAGTACTCTACTTAGAGGATTATCTAAGGCTGTTCCGTATAAATTCAATTTTCAAGCCACAATAATATGAAATAATTTTAAAAATGCTTACGATATTACTCAGTCCAGTGTCAGCCATGTCGAACACCACTGTCAATGGCTTTCCATTTTCTCTTTTTGCATAGCGCTCTAACCAAAAGGCTACTAGTTTCTTTTTTTCAAATTGTGTTTTAGAATCTTTTGTATGTAATTTCACTCGGAACCAAACTAATGTGGGGAGGGAAAAATACATATAAATGTGTGAAAAAGGTAAGACCAGCTTTCAGGCTATCTTTAAATGAAGATACTATTTGCTTTTTTTAACATGTATATTTTCTTTTTTTTTCATATGTCTCTGTAAGTTCTTTATTCTTTTAATTTAAAATCTTAGAAGATAAAACGTTACAAATCAAAAATATTTTATACAGAAATCAGGTAAAATTAATTTTTCTTTCTTAGTGTGACATTAAAAATCAGTGTTACTGAATTAAAAACAATTCAATGTGAATGATTTGACACATATAACGTCCAAAAATAATTGTCTATTTTAAGCTGCACAGTATCTGCTGCACATCTTAAAACAGGCCTAGAAAACCTTTGAAAATTGCTATTTGATTATGTACCACTAGTTCAGAAAAATTCTGTATGTTTGATCTTTTTCACAACAATATTTTATCACATACTATATTATCACTTTCCAGGCAGTATTTTGGTTCACATTTCAACCTAAGTGTGACAATTCCTAAACTCTTTAGATATTCCAATTACTATAAAACAGGGCTATCAAACTCCCGGCTCCTGGGCCAGATGCATCATAGGCTGGTCACACCCATGCCTAGTTCAGCAAATGGGAAAAAAAATTCCCAATAGGTCACATGACACCACTGTGACGTGAGTTTGACACCCATGTATAAAGGCTGTTCATTCTAAATTAAACATGTACACGTTAATATCTTGCAATGTCTAGAAAATCTAAAACGGCTAAAATTATGCTCCTCTAGCATCTTATAAACATATAGATTTCAGAGTCAACCATGCTGGGCTACACAAATGTTCAGAAGCTTGAATTAATTGAGTTTGTCCAGAATGCAGTCTACCCTTTCTGTATTCATCAAATAAAACTGCTAACACTGCAGTGACAATATGGCCCTAATGCCTACCAAATTTAATGAGAGTAATTAATTATTTTCACTGATTTGGATTGTACCAGCGAGGTCTGAAGGTATGATGCAAACTTCAGTAGGAAGACTGAAAACAGACAAAAATTTAATCAGAACAAGGATCTTTGTATATGAGCCTCAAAAGAGCAGCATTATGCATGGAAAAATCTACAGACCTCTGAATCCACTTTTATGAGATGGCAACAGTCAGTGTCACATTTTCTATCATTTCTTGTGGTAGATTTCTTGTACAAAAAACTATTTTGTACACAATTTAGCCTTTTGAATTGCAAATGAAATCACAATCCTTCCAAAAAGAATACCAAATAAACACCAATTCAATCCACAATCAAAAAATCATTAGAACTTTCAAATTTAAAATGAAATCTAAAGTATGTTATAGTTATATCACCTTTAATTATAGTATTAGTTAAAACTCTATTTTTATACCTGTTATTAAAATAAAAAATGCAATTGTTTTTTTAATACAAATATATAAAAATTGCATTGCTCCTCTTTAATGTAGGTGTCAGTAGTTGTAAGCAATTTTAAACGTATATCGGTACTAAAGAAATACATGGGTTTGGTTAGACACCTCCATCATCAAGGCCACTGATTTCAGTGACTTTATACCAATCCCTGTATTACTTTAAATTTTTCATTCTGATTGCATTTGTATTAATAACTAAATAAAATTGTAAATTTGACTTACATATTTTATAGCCCTCCTTATCGTAACCATGTATGTAAGTAGCACCAACATCAAGCATCAATTTTGGAAAAGAAGATTCAGTCAAATCTGAAGAAAACGGTCTTGTTTTATTATTACAATAATTATTTTAGTATATCACTTACTGTAACAGCAATCTAAAATCTTAAATAAAAAAGGAATATGAAATTGCTATTTTTTAATCCAAAGAAAATAAATTAATCCAAAGAAAAGTTATTTCTAATCACTACATTTTAGACCAAAGAATATCAGTAATAGTTACAATTTAAACTGTAACGTCAAATTTAGATACAAATTTTTAAATCTAAAATGGAGTTTAAAATATTAGTTCAAAGTTAATTATATAATTATTCTTATTCTCATGTAATAGCTGCAGAACCTCTGACAATATAGGAATTGGGCAACCACATTGAAAATCTGCAAGCAAGTTCATGGTTTGATTCTTGGACACTGCACGAAGACTGCTGTGACTTGGATCAGCAGTCCCCAACATTTCTGGCTTTGCGGACTGGTGGCGGAAGGGGGAAGGGGGAGAAGGGATGGTTCCATGTGAGTGGCAGGTGAACATGCACACAGCTCCATCTGCACAAGCAGAGGGCATGCATTCACGCTGCTCACATGAATGGGGCTTCGCTTTTGCAGGCACTTGCCCACCATTTTTGCAGCCTGCTACCAGGCCGTGCTTGGGGGTTGGGGACCTCTGAATTAGATGATAAAAAGAAAGAGAGAGGGGGGTGAAGAGAGAGAGAGAGAGAGAGATTTTAATTGATTTAACTCTTCCATTATGTCACTAAAATTTCTATATTGTTGTATTTATAATAAGCACATTTATTATAGGAAAATAAGGCATTAGATGTACATATAGTTTCTCAGGTACAGTATCATGCAACCACATCACTTAACAACAATTCTTTGCAACAAGCAGTCCTGGTTGCTGTTGTTAAATGAGGGCCATGCAGGTTGTTCAGCAAAGACCTCACATGGTTATGAATTCAAACTTCCTGCCAGTTTCCCCATTGACATTATATGTAGAAAGCTGGTGGGGAACGTAAGAAAGCGCAATTACATGACTGCTGGGATGCTGCAATGGTTGGAATTAAAAAGACCTGTTATAAGTACCATTTAGTCAGCACCATGTAACTTTGAACTTTGAACCTGAGACTACCCATATAAACATAACATTTAATGAACATGTTTATTAAATTTCTATGCCATTCATGTGATTTTAGTTATATCCAGCCTTGAGATACCTTTCATTTTTTTTTCCAGTTTAGAATACAATTTCCTCTGGCAACAGTTACTTTCAGCTATTTTTTATATTTTTTTTATCAAATGCATATCAAAACATTTTTCAAACCAATAAGAGACATCTTACCATGAACTGCATACTCTTTCCTCCACTGAAAGCTTTCATCAATCATCTTCAGTGTATCATCCACAATATCATCTCGCCATATTAAGAAATTATCAACCCAGGTATCATCTTGATGCAATCTTTCTATATCCCTGGAATCATATTTATCTCTTTTTGCTGATCAATATGAATAGAAGATAGTTATTTAATATACGTTCTCATAATAACTGGGTTATAAAGAATGTATTTAAAAGAAGTATTTGTAGCAAGCTAGTATTTAATTTATAAAATAATTAAACAAAATATATATCCTTTTTCTTGATTTATGAACATAACCCCCCCCCCCCCCCCCCAATTGCAAATGAGTTTTAACCAATTTTCGAGTCCTTGAATATTTCAAACCTAAATGCCTGCAGAGGAAATGCTTTTTCAAAATCATATTTGAGCTAGCAGGAAAAATGCAGCCTAGTCTTTTTGGTATTGAGACGGCTACACAATTGAATTGGAAAATCATATTTTTGATTAACCGTAGAACTTTTTAAGTTTGGCTATCCATATGATTCTCGGTTTTATCAAAGGACTCATATTCTGTGAAAACCTAGGCAAAAGCACAAATTCAATAAGAAAAGGTTAAATTTACAATAGGGTGGTGTTAAGTAATCACAATCAGTGTGTATTTTTTATTATAATTGTATAGTATGGCCAGATTTAGTCTGCTTTTTTAATCTGCATTTGGTTTTTATCTTTAGATCAGGGCTGTCAAACTCAGTCTGCAGGCCGAATGTGTCACGCTCTGGCCACGCCCATGCCTGGTTTAGCAAAGGGGAAAAGTCACAATGTCACATGATGCCTCCGTGACGACGTAAGTTTGACACCCCTGCTTTAGATTATACATAAATAGCATCATAAGCATGAAAATAAATGAAGCTGACTCAAGGAGCACCTGTTGTGGTTTGCTGGCAGGTGTGGACGGTTGAGGTCTCAGGAGAGCAAGGGCTCAGATGAGGGACCTGTATGTGACGCAGGGATGGAGCCAGGACCATCAGGGAGTGGAATGCTGCCTTTGGAGATTGTGGAAGCTGGCAGCAGTGATGAAGAGGTCCCCAAGGAGCCTGTGCCCAGTGAATGTTCATGCAGGGCTGCTCAAAGGAAAGAGCAGCTGCAGCAGCACAGGCAACTCAGGAGTAAGGCTCCAAGGTAATGGCCCTCCCTTAAGAGATAAAAGCCAGCTGAGAAACCGGAGTTCTTTGCAGGAAGCAAAGAAGCTTTTGCACTCAAGCCTTGTGAACGTTCAGAGTATCTTGGTTGGTGTTTGGAGACTTTGTGTTTGAAATATTTCTTAGTAACTTTATCTAGTATTCTTGGCAGCCTTGCACAACCTTGGCAAGGCTCGTTCTTATCAGAGACAGTTTGAAACAGCCTTTTAACCATGAAAAAACGGAATTAGTAAAGAATCATTAAAAGGTTTTGCTGTTACCTCTGTTCCGTGTTTGTTTCCTTGGAACAAGGTTTGGCTCAGAACAGCACCATGATGTAATGGGAAGATTGTTGCAATAAACAAATTGGCAATGCATGAAGAGATAAGTGGAACCAAATATTTACCTCTTAATAATCTTCTTAAATCATGAGGATTTTCAAACTTAAAACTAGTTATTCACAAAATCTTTAGTAGTCACAGAATACAAATGTAAAGAAATCCAAAAAGGAAGACTTTTAAAACTATGTACCTCTGACAATAATCAATATTTTTTTCTTTCCTATTGTTATAAATGTACAGGATAAACTATAGTATGAACGGAATATTTATATTACCAACCTGATAAATATTCTGTCTCAAAACGCTGTCTGATTTCACTTATTAACGGGCCCCTGTTGCCCTGCTGAGAAAGAACACAAACTCATCAACACATTAAACATTGCTATTTTTAGGTTGAACAAACTTTTTCAGTCTACTGTACTTTAGTTTTCTACTGTACTGTTTTCTACTGTACTGTACTGTACTTCAAGTAATAAGTGCTATTACTGTAAGCAAAGCTTCTAAGCAGATGCAGAGCTCAGGAAAGTGTTCTGTTATTATAAACATTTCATGCGTAGGCTGGATTGCTTCATTTGAGAGTCATTCTACTATTGTTACTACCAGAATTACAAGTCCTAGAGGACAGGACTATTATAACTCATTCTGTAAAATGGGTTCTGCAAGAGGAGGCCTAAATACATTCCTCTTATACATAAGTTTTGAATCTCTGCTTAAAAAGTCAGTTTTAAACTATTTTTAAACCAAAGTTTCTTTGGTTGGCTTCCTCAAAAAGGAATACCTGGGGCCCACTGTTCTTTGAAAGAATGAGGTAACTTTTTAATAAGGTGACCAACTTTTTTACAATGAGGACGACACAAATAAATTGAAGAAAAAAAAACAAAGCCACTTGCGTGTGGCGCACTCTTGCTCACAATTCTGTGTGGAGCGCATGCGTCTCATAATCATGTCTCGCCACGCTGTACCAAACCTTGATGAATCGTCATGTCAAATACAAATACTTCACATCACACAATGGATCGGATTGGCATCCATCAAATATGGAGATTTACAGATTAGTCTTCAAATATCAAAAAGGGGGACATGTAGGAGGACACTTTTGGAGACAGGACAGAACTTACAAAAGGAGGACTGTCTTCCCTTAAAGGAGGACGATTGGTTATCTTATTTTTAAGCACATCTGGGAAAGGAAGGGGGGGGGTACTGTGCACCAGTTTCACAGGTGCTGTTAGTCAGCTGTCCCTGTGTAGGAGCCTCTATATCTATCAGTGTACAATCAATCCTTTCTGACCAGTATAGTCACAGGTTGTGGGAAGAAGAGTTGTATGTAGAAACCTGGATTAAATCATCTTCTCTGAAGATCTGCCTTGCTAGACTCTAAAAAGAGATCTCAGCCATCTGGCGGTGGAAATATAGTGGACTATATTTAAGTTTTATTATATTTATATCCTGTCTTTCTGTTTTGCCCATCTCCCCAAGTGAATTCATCGCATCCCACTCTCCCTAGGAAGGGAAAATACGAAGACTATTCTTTTTCCACCCCTTGTGGTCTCTCTTCCAGACTGCCTATCTTCAAGGCAGGGCACGCAGCTACTCACATCCGCCATGGTCCTGCTCACACCAGATTAGGAGCCGCAACAAGGCGAGCGAGAAAAAGGGAAGAAACACACGAACCAAAAGCAAAGGGTTGACTCAGACTGAAGTAAGAGTTCACACCAGCCGGCGCCGGACACCTTCGGCGACAAACGCCGCACAACAGGCGTTCCTACCAGCCAATCCCCGTCCTTTCTTTCAGCAGCGGCCGTCCCCTAAATTAAAAAAAAAAAAAAAAAGCAGCGGAGAAAGCTCCCGCCCTCTGCTTCCGCATCCTTTGATAGCGCGTCCAGCCCTTTGCCTGCGCAATTCCGCCGCCTCCTAATTGGCTGCGTTGGCGTCTCCTCAGGGAATTGGCGCCTGGGCGCTCTGCAATTTGCGAAACAGGAGCCAGCCAAGAATCAGGCCTATCAATCCGCCCCTTGCGTGGCGGGCTCTTTGATGTATGGCAGAGGGAGTTCGTGGTTTCCGAGAAGGTCGGCGCAAAACCTTGCTCCGTTGCCCGTGAAAGGGATGAACGCATGCTGGTGTTAAAGTAAATGCGTGGTATGTTTTAATAAATATTTGTGCTGTCATGCCCTGCTCCATTCTGCTGCACGTCCACGCCTTCGGTTGGGAAGACGGGAATCCAGATCCTAAGCACAGGAGGTGGGTGGGTAAAACCATTTTGTAGCCTGGATTATCAAGAAGTGGGTGTCCCTAGTAGCACCCGACAGCTTGTCGGGGAATCTAGGATTTAAGCATCACAATGTAATATGAACTCTCTTCAGCAGGATCTCAGCCCACAAAGGAAAAGGCAAGTTGAAGCATAGACTTGTTAATTAAAATGAAGTCTATGATTCCCATTGAGAGTTGATCCAATCAGAATACAGCTGGAAGGGACCTTGAAGGTCTTCTAGTCCAAACCCCTACTCAAGCAGGAGACCCTGTATCATTTCAGACAGGTCTATTCTTAAAAACCTCCAGTGATGAACACTTACAACTTCTGAAAACAAGCTGTTCTATAGGCTAATTGTCTTTATTGTTAGGAAGTTTCTTCTTCATTTCAGTTGTTCTCTCCTTGATTAGTTTCCATCCATTATTCCTTGTCTTGCCTTCTGGTGCTTTGAAAAATAAGTTCTTTGTGGCAGCCCCTCAATTACTGGAATGCTACCTAATATCATGTCATCCCCACTTCTTTTCACTAAGACTAGCCATACCCAACTCCTGCAACCATTCTTCATATGTTTTGGATTCCAGGCCTTTAATCATTTTAGTTGGTCTTCTCTGCACTTTCCAAAGTCTTAACATCTTTTTTGTAATGCGGTGACCAAAATTGGACGCAGTATTTCAGCTGTGGTCTTAACTAATCCACATTTTTCTTTATTTAGAACTGACAACTAAAAAAAAAAAGAAACCAGAAAATGGGGATTTTTCCTGGTCTCCTAATAATTTGATCTACAATTTCCTGAAGCTGGCAAATAATTATACACATAATAATCACCCAGATTATTATTTATGTGAACAAGGTTAACTTGGCTTGAAAGAGTGTTCTGTGGCAGGGCTTGCCAACATTTAGGACCTCGGGGACCACCAAACTCATAATTTAACATCCTGCGGACCACTAATATGAATTTTGACCGATGGTGGCTTGCTGACGTTGGTGGGAAAGTCGGTCCTATGTTCCAGAGCTGCAGTAGTCACAGTACTGACCTGTGCACCAGCCTGCCATGGATGAGCTGCTCCGGGATGACCAAAGGGCCGGTCTTCTGATTACTGCAGCTCTGGAATATGGGACACACCCATGGTGGGATTGGAATGTGCAAATTTGCAGGTGGTGCAACATGCAAAAAGCAGCACAGCCCTCGCCAGCAGGACGAGGCAATGGTGCTGTTGCAGCAACAGGGGGCTGGTGGCACAGGTAGGCTGAAGGGGCGATGGAGATGGCTGGAAGGTGCAGGACCGCCGTGCTACTTGTATTTGCACAGCACTCCCAGCTCACCTCTCCTGGCCTGGGCTCTTCCTCGATGGCCACGGGCTGTAGGGACAGCCCAGGGCAGGAAAAGTACAGGCTGGTGGTGGTGGGAGGGGGCAGAGTGGGCAAGTTTGCACTCACCATCCAGTTCAGAGGTCTGGAATGGGGCATCGGTGTCAGTTTTCTCATCCCTTTTGGCACTTTGCTAAGCCTGGGGCGCAGCGCAATGATTAGGGGCCCAGAGCCTCTTCCTCCAACCTGGGCTCGCTGTTGGTGGGTGGGGGCCTCCTTGGGAGATGCCCTCGCCCTGTGGGGAGAGCCCAGCATGCGCACGCTCCGGGGAGAGGCTTCAAGGCCTGGAGGGAGGGAGCCTTCTCTGCTTGGAAGCAGCGGGAGAAACCTGGAGCTTAGCCTCGGAGTTCTCGTGTGGAGGCTGAAGGGGGGGCTCTTGCCTGGTTATTAGGAGCCTGTCTTCCTCGGCATTCTTTTAGTCTGGGCATCCGACACCCCCCCCTTCGGCCTCCACACAAGATGGTCAGTGCAGACTTACCCACTCCGCCCCGTCCTACCGCCAGCCAGTACTTTTCCTGCCCCGGGCCGTCCCTACAGCCTGCGGCCATCGAGGAAGAGCCCAGGCCAGGAAAGGTGATCTGGAAGGTGTGGGAGTGCCGCACAAATGCAAGTCCAAAAATCAAGTGGGCCTGCACCTTCTGGCCATCTCCATTGCCGCTTCAGTCCGTCTGTACTGCCAGCCCCCTCTTGCTGCAACAGCACCATTACCTCATCCTGGCTTGCGAGGGCTGTGCTGCTTTTCGCAGGTTTTCACTCGGCCGAAGGGTGGGGGCCAGCAGGTGGGTGGGCCATGTGGGCGGCACAGCCTTGTGGATCCTGGATTAATTGCTTTCGGGGGGGTTCTTTGAGGGCGATATTTCTCTGTGGCCCACCAAAATTTTCTCACAGACCACCAGTGGGCCACGGCCCACCGGTTGGCGACCACTGTTCTATGGCATGATATTGGGACAAGGAAATTCTAGGTTGTATGTCCTAACCTTGCCAACTTCCAGGTAGGTGGACTAATTCCCAAAATTCTTTAAAATGATCAACCAGCCTGTGGAATTGTGAGAGTTGAAGTCCCAACACCTAGAAATTTCTATAATTCAGATATAGAAATCAAGATCTAAATAATGCTAACATCTTTAATTTTACTTAATTTTAATAGAAAATTGACATATTAAAAAGCTGATATTGGCAAGATGGATAGCAGCTGCTGCACTTTTACACTTTTTTAGCTATATTAACAATGGATTTTGAGCAGATTAAGCTTGTGTTTCAACAACATGTTATGAACATGGAAGAACAGCGCAATGTATTTTGGAGGAGCCAATCTTAAATACACTCAGAGACTTCAAAATATAGAATCTATAATATCAGACCTCTATTTTTGCAAGTAAATTTCAGACAATTTCATATGCAATGTCATCCTGTCTGCATGATGAGGATATTATTGATTGAATAGGTTAATATTTTATACTATACCTCCTACAATGATATTCATGAACACTTCAGAATTTGAGATTTAATTTTTTACTCTTACTTTTCATTTATTAGTATTTATTCAAAACGGTTTAACGTCTTCAAATATTACAGACATTTGTTCTGTCACTTGTTGAATTTGACCATAGCTTGCTTAACTACCCATCTTAGTTCAAATTGCTTATACTGTTTTATCATCTGTTTTATTGAGATTTTGGGATTTTACTATAATATTTATTCAGACACTCTTTTCCATAAAAAGGCTCCCATTTTAGCCATAAAGTAGACATGTGTTATTAACTTAGGGGAACAAAGACTTAACTCCATATAAACATTTGTTTATATTGATGTAAATACTTCATTTGTTCTGCTCTACCTCAGCCAATTTTTTCTGTATGTGGAATTGTTTCTTATTTTAGAAGAATATTATAATAACTCCCACTCAAATACAGCTGCGAAGGATTTTACTATGAAACATTTTAATGATTTTGTTGTGGAAAAAAAATGCCTTAATAATTTCACTCTTTCTTACTGTAATACAGGAGTCAAAGATAATAGAATAGAACAGAATAGAATAGTTGGAAGGGACCTTAGAGGTCTTCTAGTCCAACCCCCTGTTCAGGCAGGAGATCCTATATCATTTCAGACAAATGGTTGTCCAATCTTTTCTTAAAAACTTAGTGTTGGAGCATTACAACTTCTGGAGGCAACTTGTTCCACTGATTAATTATCCTAACTATCAGGAAATTTCTTAGTTCTAGATTGCTTCTCTCCTTGATTAATTTCCATCCATTGCTTCTTGTCCTGCCCTCAGATGCTTTCGAAAGTAGCTTGATTCCCTTTTCTTTGTGGCAACCAGTACCTAGTTTTAAAAATTTATGGTTTTGTTTTGGACGTTATGGGATTGGGCTGGGTTTTTTTTTTTCCAAAATTTGGTATGTTACTTTTAAAAAAGAATATATTTATAATATTTTGGCTTCTTTTCAAGTACTGATTGTTATTTATTGAAGGTAAAATAATTGTTATTTATTGAAGATAAAATAATCAAAATCTTTTGCAGTATTAATAAAGCTCTTTACATTTTCAGATTTATAAAATGTTCTTTGGATCAAAAATTATAGAAGAATCCTTGCAGTGGAATTCAGAGAAACACCAATCTTAATATAATGGAATCTTGTTAAGAAAAGAAAATGTTGATGGATCAGCAAGAAAAACTGTTGTCTTATAATGGGATACTGCTTCTTTTCCAACTATCAAGAGGGAACAATTCACAGAGTGATGATATCACAATTACTACATTGCATGTGAAAAGAATGACATTTGACAATGGCACTAAATTGTTTAATGAGGTGTCTACTGGATCACTTTGCATATATGGTGAAGATATTGAAATTATTCATTGCAGTAATGCATCTGACTTCAGAACTGGAATTCTTCACCCTTACATTCTTTTGAAAAAGAAGAAAAAGAAAAAAATTAAATATGTACTATTGTTATTTCATACCCATAATAAATTTGAACTGGTTCTGCAGTTTAAATTAGACTATGCAATCAAAGAATCTGTAAAATTATTGGCTGGTCCAACAATAATATGGTATTATGAAGGACATCTGTTACATATTTCTCCCCAAACTGGCACCGTTTTATGTGCCCCTATTCAGTTTTCTTCTGTCCAATGGGCTGGTCAAGTTGAGGGTGAGGGTATAGTTGTTTTAGGAACCAAAGCTGCTGGTTTTCCAGGAGACAATAAACAAAATAATGCTAGGTCAGACTTGGCCATCTGGGGATATGAGTGTTTTGCATATGGAGTTGACAAACAAAAAGTACTATCGAATGCTAGTTTCTTGCCTCACGCTTATGGCAGTGTGGTGCGTTGTGTATGTGTTTGCAAAATTGAAGTAAAAAGCAAATTTAAGACATCACTGATTGCAGTTACTTGCAAAGGCCAATTGATTTTCTTTCAAGATGGTTGGCCTAAACACCTTTTGCAGCTTCCATATGAAAATCCTTTTTCAGTACAAATAGCTGCAGTGGGTGGAGATCGCCAGTTGGTGATCGTAACGTTTGCTTCCGGAGATGTATGTGCTATATGGAAACATAACTTGCAGGTATTGAACTGATGTTCTAAAACAATTTTTATTAGAATTGTGGATGTTCTGTCATTATTTTTGTAAACTATTACATGTCTAGCTGTTCTGGTCCAGATTCATGAAAGAAATGTGGATGCATGTACTGTTATTTTGCTTAAATGTTGAACATTCACTCAAACAAAATCTGTTCCCTGCAGTTATGATATAGGTCAGCTATTGTTTACATAGGAACTTAATGTGCATTATGGAGTTCTGACATATGAAGGTTTTATTGGTCCTTGTAGACACCAGGCTTTTCTAAAATGAGTGGTACAGTATTGACATCATAATTTAATTGATTCACTCATTTTTAATTTCATATCTGCTCTGTGTCTTACTTAAATCCTTGCTCTTTATATCAAATCTGGCTGGACATAGTTATTTATTGGTGACGGTTCTGTACAAACTCATAGATAAAAATAATTTGTTTTAGAGCTGCAAACTCTCATTAAGTTATATACACACAACACACACATATATGCAGGGGATAAGCCCAGGTTATTCCAGACTTAAATGAAATTCTAACCAATTTATTATTTATTTTGATTAGATCTAAAATATAAGCTATGGGAAGGATCATAGTTTTTAAAAGAACAATTATAAATTAAATACAATATTCACAGTTAGTGCATGGCAGATTATAAAATGCTTGTATTCAATCTTAGATTTACATATCATGTTCTGTGTAAATTGACATTATGACAGCAATTATGAGTAAAATTATTCTTGTGCAATGCGAACTTATAGTTGCTGTATCTTAAGCTGCCTTTTCAGTAAGTACAACTAACATCTTTTAATAAATGTAAATAATGTCTGTCACTGCAAAAATTCCAGATAAAATGCTTTCTTACGTATTTTAATCATGCGCTGTATGTATATAACTAATTTTAAAAAATTGTTACAATTCTGATTTATGTTCTAGGTAGCTTCTTGCTGGAAGAATGTGAACTCTGTTCTGGTAGATGATTTTGCTGGTATTGGAACTGAACAAATCTTAGTTTTTCTAAAGAGTGACTCTATTTCAGAAACATTAAAAGCATTTCAAATAACAGATTTTGGAAATATTAATTATGAGGTAAGATATGCTACAAATAATCGGGAAAGGTTTATTTTAAACAGAATTATGCAGATTATCGCTTTAATGTTTCAGGTTTTTATTTAACTTTAATTTAAAATTTAATATTTAAGTTCATATTTCAGTAGAGATTGCAGCATTGCATACAGGATTTCAATGAACAATTTTATTCAAATTACTGATTTTGGTCATGTCAATATCTTAGAAATCAAAACTTTGACCCACTTAATTAGTTGCAAAGCAGATAAAAGCCTTCCTATGTAAGGCTTAACATGGTTTATTATTCAGTACAAAGTACTTCTAAGCATTGGGCTTGTAGATTTTGGTCACCATCTCCAGTACAACTACAAGTAGTTCAAAGCTTCCATTTATGTTTTATTTCAGGTTCTCATATTATTTCAATAGGAGCATAGTAAAATAAACCACATATAAAAAACTACAGTAGAATGGATCATACATATTAAGTTAAAACAATCAAAATACATTATGGCACCTTATGGTACAGTATATAAACATAGCCTGTGTTTAATCTTAATTATGATTTATTGGATAGCATAAAGTCAGTTCTGCAAATTATGCATGAGACTATCATGATTTATCTTATTCTAAAAATTAGTGTTTGAATGACATACTAAGCTTTGTTGCTTGTCTCTTAAAGACAAGGTTGAATTTATTTGATGTAGATATATAGATGGTAACATATAAGTCCCAAGATACATTGTGTTTAGTTTTGTGTAGTTTAACATTCTGATCAAACTTGGCCACTCTATGCCTCATTTTCAAGCTTTAAAATTACTATACGGTCTTAGTGGTGTGATTGGCATCTTTGTAATGTTTTTTTTTAATTGTGATTCTCTCCCGCCCCGCCCCTCCAAATCTAAACTATGTTACATCAAAAATCAGACAGCAACTATATACAGCATATTTTAAACAGTTAAGAAATATATATAAGCTATATCTGGTGTGGGAGTGGGTGGGTCTCCTCTGTAATATACAGGGGTGCACACAAACAGTTCCATTCTCTTCTCTGCCTGATCAGAAAGAGTGTGATTAGTTTCAGTTTTCCTGTGGAAAGATCTTAAATTTATGTTTGGATTCTTGTGTTGTTCTTCATGTCACAGAGTATTTTGTAAATCTCTGGTGTTTAATTAGTATGTGTATTGCTTTTTCTCAGAGTAACATAAACCATAAAAATGACTTATCTTCTGCTGAAGAGATACAAGAGAATCACCTTCTTACTATCAAAGCACTTGAAGCACGATTACAGGTTGGTGTGTAGCATCTTTTTCTTGGATATATATTTCGTTTTATTTAATGAAACTTGTATTTTGACATGTTTTCAGTCCATCTACTATGTAATTATCATTACAGGCAGAACATTAGCTTCTATTCACAATTATAAGCATGACTAAATATATATTATTTTACTTGAGTTTAGAAATACATTTCTGGAAGTCTAGAAGTCAGATTTCCAACCTAAGTAATTTTTAAACCATATGAGTAAAAATAGATCTTTAGCATCTTTCAGGACGAAAATATTTACCATGATGCTTACAAGAGTATCATCACAAAGCCTCTGTTCTTTTATATAGGCTGGTTTTGCATCTGTTCGAGCCATTCAACAACATTTATGCCTCAAAGAAAAAGTTCTGATGCAAAGCTGTCATGCATTATTAAATCTTGTACAAGGTTGTAAACAAAGAATTCCTAGGATCAATAAGGTATTTTGCAGCAATGTTAAAAGTGGTTTGTATTTTTTTTTCCTGTTATAAAGGTATAGAACTTGCCGTTTCTAGTAACAGAAGCAAAAATAATAATGGGTCCAATTAAACAAGTAATGTAATTATTAGCAGAATGCTGGTTGAAAACTTGTTGCTATAGTGTTTCGAGATCACTGGAATATTATGCCTGCCAATAACACATATATTTATAATATTCAGGATAATAGTAACTTTTCAATAATTTATATGGAATCATATCACCTTGGCACTTCTATAGTGTAATTTACTCGATTTGAAATTGAGGGGAAAATCAGAATGGGTATAAATACTTGATAAGGATGATTCAAAATCACATATACCTACTGTAAATGTATACCATACTGTGATAATTTTAGTTGATCCTCAAGTTTATATATAAGTTAACATGCATTTTGAGTTCCACGATTGTCTAATCCATAACAATAACAAATTTTCATTATAGAAAAAGTTATTTGGCTTTATATTTAAACAAATATTCATCTTTCCATCTAAGGAAAATCTTGTTTCTCTTTGGGATGAAACAGAGGAAGGATTTCATAATGGTGTTTTGACTCCAACAGAGGATGAAGAACAAATTGTAAAGAAGGTTTGGTATCGTGTGGTGGATGACCAGTTAATAGTTGGAGTAGAAGTCATGGAAACATTTGACTTGTGAGCAGTTTAAATTCTATACAATCACCTTGAATCATTGGCAGTATTTATATGGTCAAAGCTTGAATTCCTAAATAAAAAGTGTAGATATATAGATATTTAAAAGTATTCCAAGACAAAATGTTATGAGATATATCTGAGTAAAAATCAAAGATATATTTAATTATATTGTAATTAATATAAAGTTGACACAAAGCAGTTGTGAATTATAAATATCAAATACAGGTAGTCTTCTATTTACTACCACAGTCGAGTCCAAAATTTCTGTTGCTAAGCAAGACAGTTGATGAGTTACATACCAGTTGCCAAGTGTCCAAATTTTGAACATGTAATCTTGGGGATGCTGCAACGATCGTAAATTGTGAAAAACAATCCTAAGTCACTTTTTCCAGTGCCACTTGAATTTTGAAAGTCACTAAACAAATGGTTGTAAGTTGAGAACTACCTGTACACAAGAGCATAGTACACTACAAATGCTTAAGATATAAATATATTTTTTACATTCTGTTCTTTTGTTTTGAAACAGGCAACTCAGTGATGCCAGTTTATCTCTGATAATTGGCCAGAAGCACCATTTACTTTCTCCATCAAAATGCCACTGTAGAGTAGTTACACTGACAAAAGCTTCAGAGGCTGAACCTCTGTCATGTTGGCATTTGGAACCATTGCCTAAAAAAATCAAGTTAAGTTGCCTTAATGAAGAAAGCAAGTGTAATAGAAAAGGCTCAGAAGTGAAGAGGAACAAGGCAAAAGCCATTACAGCAGTCACTCACCTGTTTCCTTTCTTGGCATGGCATGAAATAACTTGTGTGGTACTGCTTCATGCGAAGAAGAGCAGTAACAGTGAAAACTGGCAGAAAAGCAAAAGATTGACTTTGCTATGTGGGAATTTTTTACTAAGTCTGGTAGAGATTTCTACTGGAAAGCTTTCAATAAATTTGAAAGAGTTTAAATATCCAGGTAGATATATATTTACTATAAGAAATCTAAGAAATTGCTATGAAATAATGAAACTTCATATTTTTTCAAAATACAATTTATTTTAGTGTTTTTATACTGTATACAAAATTGTCTGTTATAATCATGATCAAATTCAACATTTTTGTTTTAAAAGAACCTTTTTTTAAAATAAATTCTTTAGAATAACATTTTCTATAACATAAATAAGACAACACTTTTTTATTGATCCCTGTCTTAAGACCATATCTCAACCCTTCTTCACTCTCCCTTTATAGATAGTCCTTGACTTGGGACCACAATTGAGCCCAAAATTTCTCTTGCTCAGTGGGACAGTTAAGTGAGTTTTGCCCCATTTTATGACCTTTCTTGCCACAGAATCATTGTAGTTGTTAAGCTAATGACTTTGTTGTCAAATTAATCTGGCTTCCCCATTGACTTTGCTTGTCAGAAGATGGCAAAACATGACTTTGGGACACGGCAACTGTCCTAAATATGATTGAGTTGCCAAGCATCTGAATTTGGTCATAAGTGTGAAAAATAGTCATAAGTCACTTTTTTCAGTTCTGTTGTATGGTCACTAAACAAATTGTTGTAAAAACTGTTGTACCCAGTTTTTATATGCTTCTGGAAGAAAGTTTAGAATTTGCTTGTTTATTGCAAATTACCTTCATAATTTTGAAGCAATACCCTGATGTTCTTTGTTGATTCTAGGAATTATATGAAAGATGTATACAAGCAATATTACAAATAGATTTATCAGAAAATATATTTCATTAAATAATTTCTTCAATTATGACCCCAACATTCTGAGCATCAAAAATATGATACTTTCCTAAACAAACAAACAAAAATGCAAAGAGTATACTTGTTATTTTATTAGATGCTTAATAATAAAAATACATTTAGAAACAAAATTAAGTAAATATCTATTTTAAGCCTATCGTACTGCTTAGTTTCATTACATTTGTGTGTGTGTGTGTTGCAGGTTCTACAGAAGATCTTTTGGCAGTCTGTGCAATATCACACAAAGCCTCTTTTCAAATAATCTCTGACTGCACATTGCTTCCAGTAAACAAGCGTCTATTGGAACAAATGGAGTGTGCACCAATTGAGAAATATCCGGGTTATATGGTCTGCTGGAAATCTGGAAATCTGAATGGCACTCTTTTCAAGTGGAATCTAAAAACACCTTTTGAAGGATTTTTAACAGTATTCTGCAGGTAGCAACCATTGAAAGGCTGAGAAAGACTTTTTTAGCTTCTTAGGGAGAATTAACAACTGCTGAATTATTTTGTAGAGGTAGTAATTGTATATATTGCTGACAGAGGATCTCTAAATGACCATTTTATAAATCATTGTCCCCCTGGTATCTGCTAGATAAGTAAGTGTTTCATTTGTTTGTTAAAGAAATTTAAATAGTTTACAGAAGGTACCATGAAAATTTAACTACTGGCTTAATGCAATATCTAACACAATTAAGAGGAATTTGAAAAAAGTAATTTATTTTTTCTCAGAATTAACATTAATAATAAATCTTTAATTTTTTTATTATGTAATGTTTTGGAAAAGAATCTCTTCACTGTCATAGTGCTGCTAGGTAAATGTCGAATGAATCTTAGAGAACAACCAAAAGCAGTCATAAGAACATGGCACATAATTCTGCCTCTGAATTCTGCAAGTTTTTAAATGTATAGGACAGGTGTTTTCAACATTATTTTTATGCGTGGCATTTATTTAAAAAAATGCAGGCAAAATAGATTAAAAAACAATTTCAGGCAAGGTAGAGTCATGTTTCTTTGTCATGAGAATTTTGTTTTGCATGTAAATCTTTCCATTAGTTCACTGAATGCATAGTGAGAATTGACTTGTTCATCTATTTCACAGACATCAACTTGCCTTGTTCCAGTACCTTCATGCCTTCATTGGATTGCTACCACCAACTTGCAAGATAAAATTACTGAAGTTAGGAAATAAGAATCTACTTGCTGAACAGCTTGCACTGATTTTAATAAAAGAAGCAGAGTTTTTCCAACATGTTTTATCATCAGCTCTGAGACAAACTGAAAATAAATTTTCTCTGAAAAATGAAGGAAACCAAGAAAATAATAATAGTGCCTCTGCTGTTGAACATTTCAAAGAAACATTTATAAAGGAACAAAAGCAAAGTATGCTGAGTATGAATAGAACAGTGAGTGGTTCCTTATTCAGAAAGCATATTGTGAATGCGTTTGATCTGCAGATGAATTCCGATATGATTTCATGGCTATGCTCTTAATTCTGACTTTATTTTGCAGTATTTTTAATTAGAATTATAATTAGTTTATAATATATTATGTTTAAATCTATAATTAGTCTGCAATTAGTTTTTTTAAAAAACAACAACCCAACCTGCTAGTTTATAATATATTATGTTTAAATCTATATTTAATTAGTCTGCAATTAGTTGTTTTTTTTTAAAAAAAAAAACAACCCAACTTGCTAGTGTTTTAGTTCTATTTCTAGGAAATTTCTATTACAAAAAAATTATTTTGCAAAAATTTCAAGGGCTATGGGCAATTATTACTTGGCTAAGCAGACATATGTTTACCAATATATATATGCATTTCTCACAATTCTGTATTCCCTTATTGCTTTATTCTAGAACAGCAGTTAGTGTTTACAGGAGAGGAAGAGGATAGAGTGAAATGATTTGATACCAGTTACAGATAAAGGATGGTATAGTGGTTATACCCTGACATTTGTTATAATCAACATTGAGTTTTCTAAGACGTGTTACCTAGGAAAAATCCTGCAGCAGATAGCTGTATTAGAATGATTGAAGGCACTTTGTTGCAATGAGATACGAAAAGCTTCAATTCTTCACTTATTTTTATATAGATAACATTTGTCACAGCAAGAATGATGCATAAATGTTTTAGATTCAGCATTCAGGATATTTTTTTTCTAGTTAATATTCAATATGGAGTTTTTAATCTATGGAAAGCTGTGGGTAGCCACTGACAATTATATTAAGGATACTGTTGAATACAAATCTGAGAACCTGCTGAGTTTTGCATGAGAACCTGCTGCATGAGTAAATTAAATTATTATCTCATGAGTGTGTTCCATATAGATGTATCTGTTGTATTCACTACAAATATATAACAAATATTTTATCATAATGTTCAGTTTAAGATATTTAATGTCAACATACAACATATATTTAGGTTCATACTGTTCATGCTAACAGCAATCAGCATTCACAATTGATCACATACTACTTTACCTATAGCTATAATCTTAAAAATCTTTGGCTGTCTCTACAGTTTAGTAATAAAATATACTGTAATATGGAAATTGGCAGTGTGGTTTTTGTAATCCTGTGCATTGAATAATAAGGCGTGTTGTTCTGGAAATTATAGAACTTGATAATTACAATTTTCACTTTTTCTTGATCACTCTTAGATTGCTATTGGCAAAATGCTAGTCAGACCTTGCTTCAGATAATTACAAGCCGTTAAAATACATTCAAAACATATTTTGCAAAGCACTACGAAAGAAATAAAATGCAAATGTATGATCTATAGCTTAAAGTATATTTATCAGACCCTTGATTTTGAAATTCTTTTTCAAAAGAATAAGTGGATTGAAAAAAGCAAGTGATTGCTGTGACGAGGGGAAGCCATCATTTCAAAAGCATTTAGCGGCAGGTTCCAGAATGTCTTTGGGAAAATTAACTGAAAATAATAAATTTCCTAACTGTTCTTTTAGTTTCCTTACTTTTTTGCTGTTCTGTTTCATGGCCAAAGAATATCTTTCTACCTCTATCAATACTCGAACATTGGCCTCTGATTTTAAAGATCCATTGTCAACTGATAAGCAAATTTCACCTTCAGAAAATAATTTCACGTTTTCTGTGATTTCAGCCTGCAAACCTATATTTTTAAATATTTCTTTTAGGATAGTTATACTAAGCATTTTCACTTCAGCAACCATTTGTTATAAATGATTAGAACTAATACAGCCATCCCTATGTAATAGTAATGAATGCATTCTTCAACTATAGATGTTTCTGTAATTAAAGTAGCATCATAAACATACAAGAAAGAGGAGATACATTTCTTGGAATACTTTGCAGAAGTTTTCCCTCAAAGTAGAAAAGTGCTAAGGATAGTATATACCTAAAATATATATAGGCCAGTCCAGCGCATATATTCTGGAGAGCGAGATGTTCCCTGATGGAACTTCTCTATCATGGGCTCCAGATTGAGCCTGAAAGCTTGGAAGAATAAAACTTTGGTCCTGGTGACTGACTCAGATTGGATCCTGCAACATTATCCTGACACATCTATATTTATATTCATGACACTGAAAATAATTTAATAAAAACTAGATGTGCACCGGATATAGCTTGCAGGCTCACCTTGGGGTATGAGGGAGAAAATAGAGCATCTGGATAGTATTGCTTAGATGTATTTATAAGGGTGAAAGTATTTGACCTTTGAAATAGTGATTTGTGAGAACTAATTGCATTTACTGTAATTTATCTGGAGACCTCATTATTTTCTAAATAACACATCAATAAATCCAGCAGTCTTGTACTCTGCTTTTCATGGGCTATCTAGCTTACTGTTTCCCACTTTAGTGCACATAAATATTTTTGCAGACTGTTATCTCAATATGTGAGATAAACCCCCAGATTTAGCCATATAATAATATCCTTATAGTACTTTCCCATTACTCAAGGTAACTTAAAACAATTTAAATATAGCACTTCCATTATTAAGCAATATGGGACAAAGGATAGGATCTTTATTGGATTTTGGAAAATGAAAAAGTTACTAAATATTTGATACAATACTAGTTTATTGTCCCTGGTCTTTTGTCAGTAGCAATAAAGCCAATTTTGCTTCTCATTAATCTATGAAGTAAAATTCACCCCAGCACATTAATTATAATAAGCCAGCAACAACTTGTCTACTACGAAGAACATTGTATGTATTTTTGTAAGTTGGGTTCAATTATATTTTTTAATTTTTTTAAATAAAAGTTTTATTTTGTTTATCCTGTGTGAGACTGATTCATAACTAAAAGGAAGCATGAAGGGCTGAAACACTTCTAGACATATGCAGTCATGTGAAAAAGCAGGTATATCCTATGTAAAAAAATTTTTTTAATATATGTGGACATCAATATTTTATATTCATTTAAAGTAGTGGTTCCCAACCCCCAGGCCATGAACTGTTTGGAATTGGGCTGCATGAGTGGTGTGCCAGAGCATGCATGTGCAACCAGCTCGACTTGCACGAGTGGCGGGCTAATTCCACCTACCCAACCAAGCTGCCAAGTCATAAAGGTTGGGGAATGCTGATTTAAACAATATATAAAGATAATAGTGATGTACTTAAACAAAAAAAACCTATGAAAAAATGACTGCAATAGCGTATTCAACATAAATTTGCAGACAGGGCATTTCCTTTTGTGGGAAAGGTAAGTACATCCTTGGCTCTAGTACAGGGGTATCAAACTCAAGGCCCAGGGGCCAGATCCGGTCCACAGGATGTTTAGATCTGGCCCATGGGGTCACCCAGGAAACAGAGAAGGATTGGCCCACGGTGCATCTGCCAGTGAAAATGGAGCTTACAAGGGCCACGAGCAGCCCTCCTGACCTCTGTTTTCGCTTGCAGAGGGTTGCAGGAGGCTGTCGCAGCTGAAAACGAAGCCCAGGAGCCTGTTTTCACTGGCAGACTACAGAGGCCACCACAGGTGCCCCCAACAAGAGTGGTTAGCTCTCCACGCCGACCCAGCCCCCTGAGGTCAAACAACCCTGATGCAGCCCTCAATGAAATCGAGTTCGACACCCCTGCTCTAGTACCTAGTATTGTCCCATTGGCAGGAACAACCTTAAATAGGCATTTCTTATAATTGTCTACCAGACTCTCACATCAACTGGGAAAAAAAAAATTCTGCTTCTCCATGCAGAATTCTTTCAGCTGTACAATGTCTGAGGGGTTACACAGCCCATTTCAATTTCAATTCACCCCACAGTACCCCATGACTTTGAAAGGAGATTTAGAAATGGGCTTTGAGTTGACCATTCCAGAAGGCTTTGTTTCTTTGTCCCCCCCCCACCAACCGGATAAATTTAATGAAATGTTTAAAGTCCTTGTGGTGATGCAACGTTCACTTTAAGTTGAGTTTTAATCTTCTGAGAATAAGTCAGTTTATCCTTAAGCACGCACGAGTACAATGAAGAACTCATAGTGGGTTCTATGATGGTGAGCTGCCCAGGTTCTGTAGCAAAGCACCTCCCAAACCGTAACCTTTCCACCATCATGTTTTTCTATCCGATTTTTCCTATTGAAATGCTGTCTTTGGTTTTGCCAAGTACATCTTCTGATACTATGGCTAAAATAACTATCCTGCCCCATCTATCTAGAACAGGAGTTCCCAACCTGGGGTGCTTGCACCCCCTGGGGGTGCGAGATGATATTCCAGGGGGTGCGAGAAAAGTCCAGGTAAATAATAGGATATTGGCTATATGTTGGCATTTTTATTTATTATGCAATGGATTAACTTTGTTTTCATTTTAGAGTTTATCGTTATTTAGTGGCTGTCACATACATAGCTGAAAAGATTCAATCCTACCATATATTTAACGCATTCAGTAGTTCCTAAAGACTAAATTTCAGGGGGTGCGAGGTTCGAGTGAAATTTCTTTAGGGGTGTGGGGCAAAAAAAAAGGTTGGGAACCACTGATCTAGAACATAGTTCCAGAAGTCCTAGTCTTTGCTTATAAACAAACTCTATTCTTACTTGATGTGCCTATGTTCTATTCAGCATTGGCTGCCTCCTGGCCCACTTCCCACGTAGATTTAATTTGTGCAGCTCTTTTTAATGGTATACTCATGTACTTTTGATGACAAAAATGACAAAGCAAGAGCTACCCTTAGGTCACGTAATGAAATTCTAGAGATGTTAGAGTCATTTCTTTCTGCACCCTGTATTCTGTTCTCAGGCTGAACTTGCTAGGACGGCCTGGCCTGGACAACTTGGTAATTTGTAATCTCCACATGTAGATGATCTTGAGGACAGTGACACGACTGATATTCAATTATTAGGGGGTTCTTTTAAAATCATTTTCTAGTCTCAGGCATCTATAGGCATCTATAGCATTTTTTTCTGAAGATCCCAGGGAGCTCCTTGGATCTAGGCATGGTGATACCAAATACTTCTATATAAGAAAATAAATCAAACTAAATATCTGAGTTTTAAATAAGATATGTTCCTTCCAGATTCTTTAACAATATTCTAATCATTAGCATCTGATCAAGTGCACTTAATATTAAGCATTT